AAAGACAAGCCTAGTTGGATAAATTAAAATGGATTACATTTTTTACTTTGGGTGGGGGAGAGTTTTAAGGATGGACATTTAGAATTTTGGCTTTCGGTAAAGGAGATTAGGAAAGTGCATGTGAGAATTATTTGTTTTTAAGAATAAATATTTAAAAATTTAGAAATTTACATGGGGATACTTTCAAGGAGAGGTTGACATGTGGAATTTTGTCAAAAAATTAGTTTTTGCTATAATGGGGTGTATGTTGGACAATAATACTTGTACTAAATCAATGAACAATGAGAAAAAAGTTATGGTTACGATAATAGAGAGTTTTGTTTCCAATTTACAAAAAAACTTGCTTTCCTTTATGTTAAACTGGGTTATGGACCCAAAGACCATCTATATTCTGAGTGCTTATTCTCAGGTCATCTCTTTAACCGTGCTATGAATCTAGTCCATGTCTCTGCTCCTTTGATCCCATGGAATGATTTGGTATCTTGGATGATGTCTCATTATGGATCCAGCTCAGTTGCTGATAGCATTACTAGAAGCACTTTTGTATCAACTGTCTATTTCATTTGGGAAGCCAGAAATAGACTTATTTTTAGAAGTGAACCTCCTAGAGGGGTTGAGATTGAGCAGAAAATTAAGTTCGCTTTGAGTCTGAACTTGGCAAAGATAAAAAAGATGAAGAGTAATTAGAAGAACAAACTTTGGGCTGCGAAGATGTGTATTAGTCCAGTTTTTTCTTGATAGATTATTTTGTATTTTTGACAAGATTGTGTCTTAGATTGATTGAAGTGGTCTAGCTCTTGGCTTTGTCTAGACACTTGTGTTTTCTGTATGGAGTCTGTACTTTTTCTCTTCATATAATGGAATGAATACAATCTTTATTCCAAAAAAAAAAAAAAACTGGGTTATGGACCCGTGCAGTTGAACAGGTTTGGTTTAGGCAAAAAGTACTTGTAGTTAATATATATCACTATCTTTATAACACTCACTATGTCCCCAATAAATAGTTTATATTGAAATTTTTTACAAAAGAATTATACAAAGCTTTTTTTTCCCGCCAAAACAAAAAATATACATTTTTTGCAAAAGTAGAACGCCACGTGTCCTGCGTTCATCCGGAAAAAAATAAATAGGTTACAAAAATAAAAATAAAAAAATTAATCTCAATAGTGGAAACCTTATCTTTTAGTTTTATTTTTTTTTTGGCCTACCCGAACTCCCCATTTAAAGGGATTTACATGATCCTGTCTATCTTAAATCAAGCAATGCGTCCTCAAATCAATTTTCATTAATCACGATATCCATTTGAATTTCAAACAGAGATGGTGTGATTTTCGCTCTGTTTTTCATCATTACTAGTATGTGTCCCGCGCTTTGCGCGGGTTTGTCAATGTTGAAAGTTGTATCTTTTAAAAGAATTAATTAGATAATGTACTCTCTCCATTCCAAAATAAATGTCGGTTTAGCAAAATGGAGAAATTTCAAAATAAGTGTCGTTCTCACATTTCAATGCACTTTTTGTCAAAAGTTTCCGAAATTACCCTCAAAAGAGTTGATTCTATTGGTGGACAATTTTATAATGGGGTTGGTTGAGGATATTCAAGTAATTTTATTACCCTATTTAAGAATTTCTTAAACTATGTGCAAAGTGTAGGACAACACTTATTTTGGAATGGAGGAAGTAATTTCTAATATTTCTTAAAATCGTAATTTTTTTTAACTAATCAATTTTAGATCAAAATGATATTATTTATGAGATGTATATTTGTAAAATCTGATAAAAAATATTACAACAAAGATTTTCAAAAAGTGTATGATAAAAATTTTCACCACTAACTAATGTTATGTTTCAATCAAAAAATATATTTAAAAAATACATAAATTATGTCTAGATGCCAATGGCCTGTTTATAGGCAAGGAGACTTTGGGGATTAGATGTAGTTCTAATAAAATATGAGACACAATTAATCATCCTTAAAAATGTAAAATTGATAAAAATGAAGACTAAGGAGCACACAAATGGAACTTTAAAGGCCAAAATGACAATAGGTAAAAAGTTTAAACTTGTAAATGCAAGGACTTCTGAAGTCGGGGGTTTCTCAGTAATTTTAAAAAATATTTATTTTCAAGGTCTCAATTGGGAATTTAAAATATCTGTAAAAATCTTATATAGTAAATAATAGTTATTAACTGTTTACATAAAATTTTAACTGATTAATGATCAACCAATTAGCAAATGACACGTGTTAATTGATGCTTGATGGTCTCAATGGGTGACACGTGTCGATTATTTTTCTTTCCTTTAATATATATAATGATTCATATAAATCCTACAGCTTATATAAATCTCCGTGGAGAAGATACTCTTGCAAAGGAAGCAGCGAAAAAAAATCCACCGCGAATTGCCCCTTATGCTTCCACGTGGTTTTTCTCCTCGGAGGGTTCTGAAAAGTCCGACCCTCCACCGAATCTGATGAATAATCTCCGATAGCGGAGGAAGCAATGAAAAAAAATACGCCGCTCTATTTCTCAGTGCTTTCAGATCTGAAGGTTAAGTTTCTTTTTCTTTTTTTTTTAAAAAGTTTTTTCGTTGAAATGAATCCATAAGCAACACGATTATGAAAATAAGTTTTTCTATTCTTAGTGCAGGGTATCAATTTCAAATATTAAATTAGGGGTAATGATTAGGAATGATATCATGGGTTTGCAAAGGAAGAACGTTCGTTCAGGAGCCAAGGATGACGGAGAACCTGTTCATATAGCTACAGTCTCAGATTTGCAGAAATTACAAATAGAAACAATCAATTGGTAGCAGCCGGTGGCGGGTGCTTTAAAAGCTATTGTGAAAACGAGGGTAAAAATTTTTTTGTGCCCATTGACCATTAAAGAACCAAGATTTATGAGAAGTGTCGCAAGTTGCCCTCGTCCTTAACATTATACTCTGGGAATAGCCGCACTTATTCTTCCTTTTCTATTCTAGATAGTTTTTTCAGGTAGTTTTTCTAATTGAGCCAAGATTTGCGAGATCCATCCGACGGATTGTATGATAGGAAGAGAGCAATCGAAAGTATTTTCAAGGTCGGATGCTTCCACGTTTCTTCCTACATTAATCGTCATCTTAAACGGTAAATATAACTTTTTATTTTTCTCTTCCAGAAACAATGAAAATTGTTTTAGCATTTCCCATACATGGGATGTTAAAGAATGCGAGGATTAGGAAGGGAAACTGTTTTGTTCTGGCCTAAAAAATCTCAGTCTTGATTTCAAACAGATTTGGAATATTCATCCCCAGGGATTGGGTTGCTTATAGTTTAGTGGTTTATGATTGTCACCTTTTGTGGTTTTTGTTTGATGGGATTCAAATTATGCAATGTTAGTCATTGGTTAAATTTGTGAAATTTTTGCCAGTAGACTCCTTGATCAATTAGTTCTATTTGTTGCAATTAGGTAACAATGGATTTGGTGTACTGATTGGCAGAAATGGTTGATTCATTTTATTTTTTTCACCCATCTACAAGAATTTATTAGTCTATTATTTTTTGCTTTTTTCCTCGGTTGATATAATTTTTCAAACATGTATAGAAAAGGACAAAAATATCTTCAGAGAGCTTTCAAAATAAAAGACAGGAGAAAATAACATCTAAAGATACAATAGTCAATTGTTGTTTCTCATTGTAGGTGATCGCCAAGACTTGATTTTAATTAGTTTTTCCTTTTGCTTTTGAAAAGAAGGGCAGGACTACTGAGTTGGTTAGCGGAAAGGAGCAAGGGGAGCTTTAGGCATGCAAAATGTGGTTGCAAAGCAACAGCAGGCGTGTCTTGGTTTTTGACCGTAAGAGGAATAGCATAGTAACTACTCAGGTTCTATTTTGTTTGAATTTTGCCTTTTCCCTTTTACTTTTCATCTTACAGATATTGAATTATATCACTCTGATTCTATCATATAGATATCAATGGTATGTATAAAATAGAGCAATTCTATGAGAACAATAAGCAAGATAAACGTCACTACCTCTTGCATGTTGTTCAGCCATAAACCTACACGAGTAGTTCTTATTCTATCTTCATTTTTAGTTGTATGGTAACATTGTAACCGTACCATTAATTACTTTTCTCTGATTGTCAGGTCATGGATTCAATATGGAGAAAGTTTTTGTACAAACTCAGGTTAGTGATGTATCTCTAAAATACATCTATTTTTAGTGGGGCGTTTCTTCTCATTATGCCTCATGATTCTGATCCAATTGATTTTTTTTTTTAATTAAAGTTCTTCTGAGGTTTGGGAGTCAGCTACCTTGCTTTTTCATTCCAAAACCAGAAATTGTAAAAAAGGTAGAAAATTTTGTCTAAAATGTAGAAAAGAGAGATTTATAGGCTTATTAATTAGCCATGGTTGTACTTTATGCGAGAGAAGTATTTTTATTTGCAGTGGTTTTCAATTACCCTCTCTACCAGTTACTTTTACACATCTAATTAGAGATGTCATTAATCCTATGCGACCTATTCTTCATATCACACATGCAAATTTCATGACATCAGTTGTGCATAATATTCTGAAACTACCTTTCAAAAAAAAAAAAAAAATTCTTAAACGTATTTATTAACATGAATGAATCAGATTCATTAATGAGAAAACACGAGTCCTTTATTATTTTTTCTTGAATGGAATTGTTAAGATTGCAATTATATGGAGTTTTTAACTCATATGATATTCTTTTTTTGTAGTGCAAGGAGTGCGGTAGAGGATGGTAGCCAATGATCATTTTTTGTAATTACTTCAATTTCGGAACCGTGCAACATCCGTAGCATGTTTTGTTTAGTTTATATTTTGGTGAATGTCCATTTTTCAAATACTCTCTCTGTCCCATAATAAGTAATGCCAAGACCGGACAGCAAAGAATTTTACTGCTGATTGTGAGACACCATTCTTTCAAAGAACCCCTAATGAAATACTTTAAAAAACCAAAACCCTACTACGGCAAACTTCATAGCCGCCGGCCTTGATGGCCGAAGACCGGCCGATCGGTGCAAAATCCAATCAAGGCTCTATCCCAAAAAGATCTTTCGCTCAGATTATAAGAGGACTCAAACCAAATCCCAGGCTTCTTAGTTCGTCTGTGGAAACCCTAGTTCCGACTATGTCAACAATAATGTCTGAACTAGAGGTCTACAAAGGGGAGCCGTCTTTCCTCCTCTCTAAAGAAGAAGATGACAGGTTAGCAATTCCCTTTCGTCTGGCACTGGTTGGGTAATTTTCCAAGGGCAGGCCGAAAATGGATTTTCTATCGAAAGAATTTCAAACAATTGGCTTTAAAGGTAATTTTTCCGTTGGTATGATTGATTATCGTCATGTCTTAATATATTTTGAGCTCGAAGAAGATTACCAAAGATGTTGGATGAAGGGTTGGTGGAATTTTGAAAATCATGTGATGCGAGTGCTGAAATGGACAACCAGCTTTAATCCAAATTTTGAATCTTTGATTGTGCTGGTTTGGATTTCTTTTGAGGGTATGCTGGTGCATCGATTTAATGAAAAATATCTAAGGAAGTTAGCCGGCATAATTGGGAAACCATTAAAAATTGATGTTCCCACTTTGAACATGTCAAGACCTTCGGTTGCAAGAGTGTGCGTGGAAGTGGATCTTTTGAAAGACTTGCCGAAACAAATTCGTCTCGGAGTTGAAGGAAATACATACTTCCAGGCTGTTACGTATGAGAATCTTCCCGAGTATTGCACGGAATGCAGTAAAATTGGACACTCGGTAAAGAACTGTAAGCACACAAAAGAATGGAAAAGTGAGGTTGGTGATACCACTGAAGCTGGGAATAAAAAACAGACAGCAAATGTGAATAATTTGGTTGTAAAAATAGCGACTGAGAAGCTTCGAATCATTCCAAAGGAAGCACAAAAGCAGACGAAACATGTGTGGAAACCTAAGTCCTCGGTCCTTCAGGAAAACGAGATGGAGAAAACAAAAGATCATCATGGTCCATCCACCTCTGGCTTATCCACTGAAGAAAAACAAAATATCCCAGTTGATGTAATGGAGCGAAGTCCTTTGATCCAAATTCCAAAGAAAACCTTTTCGCCACAACGCGCTGTTTTTTATCAAACAATTGCAACTTCTTCTCGGTTTGAAGTTCTGCCTGATTTGGACAATCCAGTAACTGGGGACACGGAAGTAGATGCTAATTTACAGGAGGCCATTGAGTCTGATGTTGAAAGTGACGAAGGCATGATTACGGAGAAGTCTCATGAACAATAACGTTCTATTTCCTACGGTCAGATTTTGGTCTCTATGGATGATTATGAAATTGGAGGTAGTTCAGACTTCGTCTCTACTGAGGAAGCTCGCGTTTCTGTTTCGGACGGAGAACAAAGGAAGAAAAGGCGTGGACGTCCAAAAGGATCCAAAAATGGGGTAAACAATAATGGGAACGAAACTTGTCGTTCGGCAAGACTCCAAGGTGACATTCCTCCCAATGTTTAAAATGATAAATCAACTAATATGGAATGTAAGAGGTATAGGAAACAAGGCATCACAACATAGACTGAAAAATTTAAAATCTATGCATTCTATTTCTTTTATTATTCTTCTTGAGCCTATGTTGCAGGTGAATAAATTGGAGGAATTGAAGCAACAAGTCAATGGAACAATTGACCATATTCTTCCAAGAATATGAAGAAGCCTCATGTCAGAAAATCAACAAGTAAAAGAGTTTTTTTCTAGCTTCAGAAAAGAGCTCTCCACAGCATATTGATATGGTTAATAGAGTTCGTCAGATGCCGAGAGGGCATTTTCCTTTTGCGTACTTGGGGTGCCATCTTTTTCAGGGAAGGGAAAAAGGCTAATTATTTTCGACATCTTCTTGACAATGTTGATGCCAGACTTTCAAATTGGAAAAATAAATTGTTGTCTGCCGGTGGAAGGTTGCTTCTGATTCGGCATGTTTTATCTGCTATACCTATGCATACTTTCTCAGCAATTGAGCCACCAAAAATGATCCTAGAAGCTTTGGAAAGAAGATGCCAGAATTTTCTTTGGGGGATGAAGGAAGATGTTGCGCATAGGCATTGGAAAGCTTGGAGAAAACTTACCTTTCTCACAGCTGAAAATGGACTTGGATTGCAAAAATTTCAAGATAATGTTGATGCTTCTCGCTTAAGCTCTGGTGGAAATGGAAGTGTAACAAAGGCATTTGGGTGAGATTTGTAAATTCTTTATCAAATACTTCAAGAGAGAAGACAAGTTGGAGCAGGGTTCTAAAGGTTCATCATTTTACGAAAGAGAGATCAAAAGTTGTGCTTGGAAAAGGGGAGGTTTCCTTTTGGTATGATGGATGGCTAGATCAAGGGCCTTTATGGTCCCTTAATTAGCTAAGTGATCCACCATTTAAGGACTTGCAGGTTAAAGAATTTTTTCTTAACAAAATTTTCTATCTGCAAGAGTTTAATAACCTTTTGCAGCCATAGGTTTTGCAATTTTTGGAAGGAATGGATATAAATTTTTCTCAGGAGGAGGATCGGCGCATATGGAAGCCATCAGTGGTGGGGGATTTCACCCTAGCAACTGCTTATATGGAAATCAGGGAGAGGAAACACGAAGTCCCCATTATGAAAAGTTTTTGGAATAAATTAATCCCCATAAAAATCTCTTTCTTTTTGTGGAGGTTGTTTAACCAACTTGTTGCTTTTCCAGAAGTATTATAGAAGATGAGATTTAGTTCTCACCCAACTAAATGCCCAATGTGCCTTCAAGCGGAGGAAAGTATACAACACGTCTTTTATGAATGTCCACAAGTGAGAAAGGTTTGGAATTATTTCTTGGCTTTGTATGGAATTTTTTTACCTTTTAGTGCAGGTTTATGGAGCTTTGTGCAAGCATGGTTTTCAATTGGCAACTTCTCATCAGCAAAAAAAGCAGTTATCATGATCACTCCAGCCTTCATCCTATGGGAAATTTGGAAAACAAGAAATAAGTGTTTTTTTTAAGGTATTTTGTTTTCTTTTGACTCAATAACTCATGAAATTTGCACTAACGTTTCAATGATTTTGAGTGTTCATGAGTTACGAGCAAGAACCCTGGCTGAGGTACACGAGCTAGAGGAAACTTTGCATGTTAAAGTCAGAGGAAGAAAAGAGAAAAAAGTCACTTCACTATATTGGATACCACCAGAACCTGGAGAGATCATTATCAACACTGATGGGTCAGCATTAGGAAGTTCAGGAGAATCGGGATGGGGTTTTGTAGCTCGAGGAGAACGAGGCAGTTTCATCAAGGCAATAAGCAGACATATGGGAGAATCTACCAGCCTCTCACCAGAAATAGAGGGTATTCTACAAGGACTGAAATGGGCAGAAGAAAAAGGATATCACAAGGTAAAGATTCAAACGGATAGCAAATTAGTGGTTCAATTGTTACACAATGGCAAGAAATTTCCCTGGAAGCACCATGGCTCATTACAGCAGATACAAGGTATTTTACATCGCACTGGTTTCAAAGTGCATCATATATTCAGAGAGATCAATGTCTTAGCAGATGGCCTATCAAAGCAAGCATCAAGTGGACAATCAATAGAACATGACAGTTTAGCCAGCCTTCCTAACTCCTTGCGAGGTATTTTATACTTGGATCAAAGGTCTTTTCCATATATTCGTGTTAGGTAGCCAGGATAGATTAGAGAGCTTCCATGGGATTTTTAGATGATCTTTGTGAGACAGTCTCTTAGTTTAATTGATTGAAACTAGAAAACTGCTGTGGGATTCTTGTATGATCTTTGTAAAGCGGTTATTTAGGAATTTTTCATTAGTCCATAAAAATAGAACTGTCACGAGTTTTTTAGGGAACTCATTGTAAGACAGTTCTTAGCTTTAATTTAAATTGAAACCGTCATGGAATTTTTAGAGAATCTTTGTAAGACGGTTTTCTTCAGTACGGGTAAGTCTTAAGCACTGCCTATGTACTTTTTTCCTTTTAATTAATAAAATCGGGGGATGCCCGCCAGGTACTGCCCTGGTTCTCTTACAAAAAAAAAGTAATGCCAAGACTGAGACCAAAACGAAATATGTGTCGTTCCCGGGTTTTGCCCGGGGCGAACATCTAGATTTACAGATTTAACAAAATGATGCAGAAATCGAAATGGAGAAAATAGAGATTTTAGTAAATTAAAGATTATCATATTACATTTTATAACCATTTATATAGTTTTCATTCTTTGGTCCTTGCATTCTTAAAATAATTTATATTTACCCAAACATTTTAAAATTAGACTATATAAATTTTTGTTTGTCTACATATCATATTAACATTAACTCAAAGGTTAAACACCACTTGAGAATTCATTTTAATATTTAATGAGCTGATTGTCAGGCGTTCAACCGGGTTAAGAAAGATTATTCTATACCATTAGAATTGTTTTTTACATGTGCAAAGTTTTACGTCATTTTACTTTCAAAACAACTCTTAAACATTGACGGGATTGTCTAGGCATTTGTCCAAGCGGAAGAATCATTTTGTTTTATTATTATTTTTATTGTTTTTTACAAGGTTTTTTTTTTTTTTAAAAAAAATGACTTAAAACACTGGCGGCCCCTGACAGCAGAAGATGGGGTTCCCTTTGTATTCTCTACATCATCAAACTGATAATATGACCACAAAACAGGATGAAAGAAATCATATAGTAAATATAAAAGATATCAACACATAACAGAAATGTTTTCACAAATTTAAGCTTATAGGCACACATTTTTAATCTATAAAAAGACACACATCAAGAATTTGACTGGGATATAATATAATTGCAAGGCATAGAGAGACCCAAATCGAAGAAAATTAGTGTAAGACATCTTTCACCTCACAACAACGTCTCACCAACTAACCAAACAATTGAATATTGGTTTAACCATTTACTAAAATCATCTGTTTTAGAAGTTAATAGAATCCAAACTATCAGATTGGCAACAAAGCATACATACAATTCATTTAATTTCAAACCCATTTAGCTATGATTTATATGGATCCAGTAAAATTTTCTGTCTCCGCTACTAATTCTTCTTTTCAACTTCATCTAACATACAATCCATTTATACACATAATTTCTATCATTACATATTATAATAAAAACGAAATACTACATATGTTTACTTAGATTAGGAATTTCTCTTTCCATTACTTAAAACTTAAAACAGAAGGGGCCGCCCGGGCAGGCATCTAGTTATAGATTAAATACAATTATGATTTTATTTTTATTTTTTGGATAAATTAAAACAGATTACATTTTTTTACTTTGGGAGGGGGAGAGTTTGAAGGATGGACATTTGGAATTTTTGCTTTCGGTGAGGGAGATTAAGAAGGTGCATGTGAGAATTGATTTTTTTTTTTGAATAAATATTTAGAAATTTAGAAACATACATGGGGATACTTTGAAAGATAGTTTGACATATGGAATTTTGTCTAAAAATTGGTTTTTTCTATAATGAGGTGTATAGATTTGCCCACTGTATAGTACAATTTTTTCTATGCAAATTTTTTCTTAGATAAAATGAAGATCTGACCAAAACATTATGCACTTAGTGTGTTTATTAGCAAAGTATGAATAATAAATGTTAGTGGAAATATTCTAAGAATTTGATGATTTCATTGTAAATTAAAATCATCTTAACGTTAGCGTCCATTCCTATCCATAAGAAGTAATTAACTTACTTTACGCATACCAATTTAAAGAATAAGAGTAACTTTACACACAACGTAAAAATTTGAAATTACCCTTATTCTTAATTACTCAACATATATTATAATTGGGGAATGGGGACATTTTTGGTAGTCTTTCACATGTATGTGTTTGTGTTTCTCACGTGTGGTCAATTTATAAGCACACATTTTTGTTTCAAACTCAATCACAAAATAGATTCATATTGATTCATAAGTAATAAGCTTTTATTCCAGAACTCGATCACTAAGTAGGATTCAAATAAAGTCATAAATAATAAGCTTTTATTCCAGAAGTCGATCACAATGTAGCATTCAAATAACGTCATAAGCAATAAACTTTTATTCCAGGGAAAGTAACACAAATAGCTCCACTTTTCTCAACATAATCTTGAGAAAAGTTTCATCTTCACTTTCTCTTCCTCCGAAAACTTGTTTAGAGGAAATCTGCAATTAAATGGAACATTCAATTCGATTAGATGTCAAACTGTGTTTCTCATGTCTTCAAAATTATCAACCAAACTTGAACTTTTGAGCATGGACATCATGAAAGAATCTAAGGAATTTATAAGTCCACATTAGTCCGAAAGAAAAAATAAGATGAAACATATTTTTAATTTTTCTCGATGTTGTTAACAATAGTCGTGGACTAAGTTATGCGAGAATTCTATATTTTAGGATTTAGGAAATGTATTTATACTAACAATGGTTTATGAATTTTTTTTATATACTAAAAGGGTAAAACACTACAAAAACACTTGTCATTACCCACGACCCAGTTTCATGGATAAAATGCCTACGTGGTCGTGGGTGAATTGATTCTCCCATGACTTACCCACGAAAATGAGGTGGTGGGAGAATCGCCCACGGGTAATCGCTCTTCCATGGACGGTCAACGCTCCGTGGGTAAATTCCTTCACGGAAACTGAGAGTTGAGGGTAATTCATCAACAACAATTTTTGTGTGTACACGTGGGAGAATGGTTTCTGAAACAATATAATTGATGAGAATTACCCACCATTTTCCGTGGGTAATTGATGGGAGAAATAACTAATGAACGATTTTAACAAATACTTTTACCCATGACTTTCCGTGGTAAATCGGTATGAGAAATAATTAATAAATAGTTTTACCAAATACTTTTACCCACGACTTTTCGTGGGTAATCGGTGGGAGAAATAATTAATGAATGATTTTAATAAATACTTTTACCCATGACTTTCCATGGGTAAATCGGTGGGAGAAATAATAAATAAATAATTTTAACAAATACTTTTACCCACGATTTTCTGTGGGTAAATCTGTGAGAGAAATAATGAATAAATGGTTTTTGTAAATATTTTTACCCATGACCCTACCGTGGAGAAAATTTAATTGGTTTATTTTATAATTATTTTACCCACGATCCTTTCCGTGGGAGAAAATATAATTTATTTTTTTTCAAATGTTTTTTTGCCCACAGTTTTTTCGTGGGTAATATTTTTAGAATATATTTTGAA